GTCCCTAGATGTGTGCCAAACCTGAAGCCTGCCCCTGAGGCTGAAGCTCCAGGACAAGCAAGTAGGTATCTCTCACAGAAAGGCCAGGAGTGTGTTTCAGTCTGCTGTCTATGCAGTGCCCTGAGGTGGTAGCTTGCCAAGAACTCTTTCTCTGATTGTTACAGTCCCATGGGACCCAGGAATGCAAACCCTTCTGGCCACCAGAGCCAGGATATCAAGGGGTATCCTCTGTGTGGTGGCTGCAAAAACCAGGGCCCCAGACATAAAAACTGGGGCACCAGACACATATAAGAGCTCCTCTTCAAGAGATGCTGGCACTTTGGAGTGTGGCAGAGTGAGAATAAAAAGATAGCACTGCCCTTTGAAGTCTCAGGGAAGGTTTACAGTCAACACTTAGATTCGGATTTAATTAGAAACCTGCCCCTCAGGCCACAGTCATGATGATTAGCTAATAGGCTTCCTTCACAGAAAGACCAAGCTCCTGTGTCTGTTGTCTCTTCCTATGCCCTAGGACTGGTAGGTGTTTAAGAACTCCTTCTCCATTGGTTACAGTTATGTGGGACCCACAAGTGTAAGCCCTGCTGGCTTCTAGAGCCAGGCAATGAAGAGGTGTTGTCCAGCATCAGCTGGAAAAATCAGGGCACCAGAGAAGGTTATAAGCTCCTTTCTGGAAGATACTGGTGAGCTGGAGTGATGCAGACAGAAAGTGAAAATATTGCATCCACCAGCCTCCATTCCCTGGGAGCACTTCCATAGACTCCTATAAGAGTGCCAAACCATAACCCTACACCTCAGGCCAAAGCTCCTGGACAAGCAAATAGACCTCTTTCTCAGAAATACTGGGGGAGAATTACAGTCTGCTATCTGTGCAGTACCCTGGGGGTGGTAGTCTCCCAAATATTGTCTCTCTGATTGTTACAGTGTAATGGGACCCAAGATTGCAAGCCCCCCTGGCCTCCAGAGCAAGACAATCAAAGGCTATCCTCTATGTGGCAGCCACAAAAGTCAGATCATCAGATGTAAAAACCAGGGCACCAGACATGTGAAGCTCCCCACTAAAAGATACTAGCACTCTGGAGTGCGGCAGAGAGAGGTGAAGATGGTGCCAACTGGCTGGAGCAAGGCAGAGGGGGAGGGCAAAGATGACACCTGCAAAAAAGAGAAAAAATAATGACAAAAAATAGAAAATTAGAAGAAGAAAAGTAAAAAAAGAAAAAAGAAAGAAGAAATGAAAAAAAAAAGAAGAAAAAAGGAAGATGGCAGCTGTGGGCTTTACCAAGGCGGAGGAGGGGGAACATGAAGATGGCTTCCTCCAACTGGACCATAAAGATGGCACCCGTCAGAAAGGGAAAAATAAGGAAAGATTGCGTCTGCCACCTTTAGCAGGGCAGAGAGAGAGCTGGAAGATGATACCCACAAGCTTCCATCATCCAGAGAGTATTCTAACAGGCCCCTGGACCTCAGATTAATGCTTTAAAATTAGCAAATGAGTCTCTTTTACATAAAGTCTAAGTGCTTTTCAAAGGGCTGCTTTTGTGCTGGGCCCTGGAGTGGGTGACTCTGCATGTAAGCCCTTTAAGAGCTGTTTTCTCAGTTCACCACAGCCTCATGGGTCTCATGAGCATGAGCCCCATTGGTCTTCAAAGCCAGATGTTTTGGGGGCTCATCTCTTAGGTGCCAGTCTTAAAAGTTTGGGTGGCTGATGTGGGGCATAAGCCCTTCAGTCTTCAAGTTGAAGCTCCCGGTTTTCAGTTCACTCTTGATTGTGGGTCACCCCACCAAGGGTTGGGTTTATGGCTACATCTCATCCCAGCCTTTTCTACCTGCTTCCATGTGGTGTCCCTCTCTCATCTTGCAATGTGAATGGGTCGTTCCACCAGTTTTTAGGTTTTTTTCAGAGGAAATTGTTCCATATATAACTGTAGATTCCATGTGTCATAGGAGGAAGGTGAGTTCAGGATCTTCCTACATCACCATCTTGAACCAGAACCAGGCCTCTAAATTTTATAGCCTCATTACTTAATGTTCCCCTGTATATTTCTAGTCAAATGATAGTATTCGGTATTAGTCACCTCCTAGATTTTTCTCTTTCCACCCTTGGATCAGGAGCTTTTCCGATAAGAATGCTTACTCTTCCTCTATATTTAGCAAAACTTGAAAACTTTCCCATCATGCAAGACTCAGTTCAAATGTAATTTTGCAGGTCATGGAAATCTGTCCCTCAACTCCAGAAGATCTGGAAATCTGCTAGTCTATCCTAACAGCTCCTGGAAGTTTGCTGCTCTCCTTTCTACTTAGTACCCAATTTGAAATTCAGTTTCTGTAAACCAATTGTTCCCTCCCTACTTTATCAATTCTGTACATTGAAAATTCTGCACATATAATTTACTTGGACAAAATAATACCTATATGAAAAATGGAAACCAATTTTCTGTTCCAAAAACAAAATCATGGTTAATGATTAAAATATTAGAGTGCCAAAGTACCTTAATTATTCATTGGTCATAAATTTGGAACTTTGGGAAATTAATTAACGTTTTTAGAGTCTTAGAGGATAATAGCATACTTTTAATTACATATTGCATTTGCAATGTACTTAAAGGCACCGTATTAGCTCTAAAGAGTTAATATGACACCCAAAGTACTTACTATTTAAAAGAAGAATGTGGCTTTAAGTTTCTATTATAAGAAGTAACCTTACTTTTATGGTGGGTTATATTCCTCGAAAATATGCAAAAGAATGTAAGGAGAAACTGATTTTCTTATAAAAGCAATTTTGTAATAGGAGAGTTAAATTTTCAAATAAGAGCATGAAGACTACTATTTTTTATAAAAATGACCACATATTCCATAAAGATAACCTATTTAACCTATCACAAATGTTATATGTATATATATATATTCTGTGCTACTTTTTTAAGATTTGTAAAGGTGAACAACATAACCAATCATGCATAAACTGAAATTAAGGTCATATAAGATTGTTGTGCAAAGTTATTATATTCCTCAAAATCCCTTCCCTTTTTTTTCCCACAGCTATCAGAAAGTTAAAGAGTCTTTCATGAGGGCTGGCCCCGTGGCTTAGCGGTTATGTGCACGCGCTCTGCTACTGGCGGCCTGGGTTCGGATCCCGGGCGCGCACCGACGCACCGCTTCTCCGGCCATGCTGAGGCCGCGTCCCACATACAGCAACTAGAAGGATGTGCAGCTATGACATACAACTATCTACTGGGACTTTAGGGGAAAAAATAAATAAATAAAATTAAAATCATTCACTCTATGCTTCTAAAAAAAAAAAGTGTCTTTCATGAAGGTTATAAGATTCCAAATGGTTTCTAAGTTGATGTTGACAGCTATCTTGCAGAGATTTACGGCAATGTAGACCTTTTTTGGTGACTTTTTGAAAAGCTGATTCAAGGATATATTTTTTGCTGTCCTCTTTGTCTCACATCATGTCCCTGTGATAAGCATAGGGATAACTGTTCAAATTGTTATTTCTGGTAATACCTTAAAACAGTCTCACTGATTTCTTGAGCTGTTATCTCATAAGACCAAGCATTGTCACCTTTCCTTCTGGCATTATATAAGGCATCCCAGCCTTTAAAATTTAAGAACCAACTGTTGCTTGCTTTGATGTCATCTTTTTCTCTCTCACTACAATAGGAATTCACATATCAGAAAAATCCCAGAGATTTCACTTTAATGGTGGCCAAAATATTTCACTTTAATGGTGGCCAAATGGAAAGCACATAATTTAATTTGCCCACTAATCCACAAATCCTGTGCTTGAAGCACTACCTCTTGCCAACAACTTGAAAGGCGGGAATATAAAGTGTGCCTATTTAGAACTGAGATACCTTTTCTTCATAAAAATAGCAGAATGTGTAGTTCCAAATGGGTTTCTCTCAAAATCATCTCCATAGAGTGGGCCTGTCTATACATTCTGATAATGCTCCCTTTAACTCCAAGCAAATCTGGAAACTCTAGAGTGCCTTCAGATGCAGGCTAATAAAACACAAGAAAACCAGTTTCATTATTTTATAATTACAAGACTCTCCCTTCCTAGAAACCTTGTTCTTTTTTCTTTTAATTCCTCATTTGTTAGTTGCCTCTCCCTCCTCTTTCATAGCTAGTGTGTTCAAAGGATATTCTGAGGACTACCACTTCCCTTCTCCTTGCACACCAAGTGTCTATGTTGTTTAAATTGCAGGCATAAAAGATGAGAGTGATGGACTGAGGTTCATAAATGCCAACGTGAGAAGCAGAGGATTGCTTGTATTCAAATCCTCCATAATGGCTCTGAAACAACAGGAATAACCTCTAGAAAAACGAGGATAAAAAGATTGCTAGAAGGAGGACACACACTTTTCGTCAATTCATTCATGATGTGATGCTTTCTGTTTCTAATGCAATTCCGTGAGCTCTGCTCACAGAGAAGTTTCTTAATATACACAAATTTGTTCAGAGTTATGTCTAGTAATGTTTAAGAAAAAAGAGGTTGGCTCCAAAAAAATCTAAGTTTCACAGAATTCTCATCTCTCAGCTTTACAGCCTTCTTTATTTCATCCACTTATGGGGTTTGTATGACCTACATTAAGCCTTAAAATATATTTTGTGGGAAATAATAAACTATTTGGGTCTCCTATACCTATGATCATCAAGACTCAGTAGATAGGGATAGTGTTAGAACAATAATCTATCTATTTATCATTTGGTACTTTGCAGGCTGAAGCCTGACATGCCATCCCCATAAGCCACAGACTTTTCAGATAATCTCAGGTAAGTTGTGTAGAAATGGTCTTGGTCTTATGTAGCTTTGCTTTATTCTGTGTCTTCACCATTCAAGTAAAGTTTAGTATCGACTTAATAAAAGTAATAACAGAAATGGAGAGAATAACTTAAGCATATGTGGTATATACAGGAAAAATTTTGGCTCACCACTGTTTATTCCCAGGCAAGCTGCTTCACTTCCTTGAGGTTTCATTTATTCATTTGTATCGGAAATTTCCACAAGTTTATTAGAAGGGCCAGATGAGATCCTATATGTGAAAGAACCTAAGAAAGTGGCAACCTAGAATAAAATAGACATCCTATACATTTTCAGTGAATGAACAAATTCCCTTGCTCTTTATTCAGTAATAAGTTTGTGGTCTTGATATTTATGCACACATTGCTTCACTATCTTCACTCCCCCTTGCCTGTGCATTTATCTCTTAGAAAGACTGGGGATTTTTACTCTCATTCACAAATAAATGTCTTCATATGAAAGAGATTTAATTTTACATTCTAGAAAAGATTCATGTATTCATTGTATCTTATTAACAATATCATATTTACTGAGAAATGTTTAAGATAAAATATCCCATTTCAGCTTGGATGAAAACATCCATAAAAACTTGATCTAGGTCTCTTAAATAAGAAAGTGCCTTGAATTTCAAAGAAGAAACAGGTGAATTCCATCTTCCCTTCCTTTCCCACATTTTTCACACTCTGCCTCCACCATCACACTCCTGTGACCACAACTATCACACAAGAAGATATTTCTGTTGTTTCCAAAGTTCGATTAAAGAAATTGTCTGGCTGATCATTCTGGCTTTTGGAAAAAGCCAGGGAACATACTTAAACAAAGTCACAATTAAAGAGTTATTTTATTTTTAGCCAATCGTTGATGAACCACTCTCCCTGCTCATGAGGCGGGAACGGGTCACAGAACTGCCATGGCGGGATAGTTGGTCACGAAACTCTGAAGCCATGAAGTAATAGAGAATTGGATCCAAAAGGCAGCAGAGACTTGCAAGGCATAGACAAAAAGGGTGGAAATACAGTGTGCTTCGGACAATGGGACAACTGCTAATGATGGTTTCCTTTACCATGGTGTAAAAAATAAAGTTAATATGATAGGGAGTGAAGCAGATGAAGAAGACTGCAGCACACATGAAAACCATCCGCAGTGCTTTCTGCCTCTCACTGATTCCTTGGAAAGCCACTGGTGGCTGTCTCAAGGATATAGTAGTTTTCCAGGTACACCATGCGATGATGACTACTGGGATCACAAATCCTGCCAGCTCAGCAACTGTAATCATCCCAACCAAAGCCACTGCATTCATTTGCTTGTAACCAAGATCAGCAAAGCAGGACTCAGTGTTGTTGGCTAAATCCGTGCTTCTCAGGATGGGAAATGGCAAACAGGCAGTCCCCACGATGACCCAGATGGCAGCACTGATGCCTACATCATACCTACGCTTCCAATCTCTGGCCCTGAAGGGCTTGAGGAGAAAGAAGCACCTCTGAAGGCTGATGCACGTCAGGAAGCAAATGCTGGCATACATGTTGAGATACTTCAGGTAGAAGCACAGCAGGCAAAGGGCCCTCTGGAAAGGCCAATGGTGGCTGATGTAATAGTAAATCCGGAGGGGTAAGGACAGCACGTGAGCAAGGTCAGCCACAGAGAGGTTGATCATGAAAATGATGGCTTTATTTTTCTTGCTGATGAAACGGCACAGAACCCACAAGGCTGCACTGTTGGCCAGAAGACCAGGGATGAATATGAGGATGTAGGTGGTTGCATAGAGGGAGTACTGAAATGTCACATTAGTGACATTGCAGTCAGTCTCAGCATTGCTGGTACTGTTGCCACCCATCATGAATTTTTCAGTATAATCATCAAAGTAAGCCGTGAAGCTATGATCCCTGCCCAAAACAAAGAAAAAAAAAGAGTATAATGGTTAACCAGTTCTTTAACCAACACCCAGATTCCTTTTTATACTTACAGAGACATAGAATATTAAAATTAGAACAGACTTGTTTACAGATGAAGAAACAGATGCTTAAGGAAGATATACTACTGATCCAATGTCATCCAATGAAATCAGTTAGAGAATCATGGAATTGTCCCTAAACTGCCCTCCTAGAGTCTAAGTTGTATCTTGCAGGCAAGGATGTCCTATAACTATTCAATCTATTGTTCTCAACACAGCAAAAAGGGTGTGGCATTTGAGTCTGTTTCTTTTGTGTCCAAATTTATCTTGCCCCAAGCCCTGGTTAGAACGAATACTGCCTCACCTTTTAAGTCCCCTTGCCTTTCCTTTGTCTGCCACCTTGCCCATTAGGTCCTGACTTCCTACCCTGGCACCCCAATACTTGGAAAATGACCCTGCCTCCTTTAGCTTGCATGGCCAGTACCCTAGCTGATTTTCTGGGATTGGGAATGTTACCTCCTTATTATTCTATGACAGTAGCTGGTGGTTCTTGTGCCCTTTGTCTTTCTCTCTTGGCTTAGGTATCATTCCAAATTTACATGAAAAACTTCAGTAATATATAAATTTAGAAACTGAACTAGGATATTTTCCTTTATATTATCTAGAAAGGAAGAGACCATTTCTCCACCTAAGGGAAATTCTGTACTGATGTGACATCATGGACATCACAGATTATCCACTAGTCATAGTGAACACTGATTAGAGCACCAGGAAAACAGGCCAGTAAAATCATTTTTTTGGAAACAACTCAGATTTAATACTTTTTTTTGTTAAAGTAGTCATCATAAGGAAAAAAGTTTTCTGGATTTCCTTAATCTTATTTTATGCTTTAATGTAGTTTTTATTATGCATTATATATTGCACATGGGGAATATAGAGTAATCTTTAGGGCTTCTTAAGGTCTGGCCATAGATTTACGCAGGCTGCCTGCAAATAAGAATAGCAGGAAAGCAACAACCTCATTATTTTACTTTAACTCTCTTATAGAATTTTAGACTGGGAAGGACATTGGAAAATCATTTAATTCAGCCTCTACATAATACTGGTAGAAGAAGACTGGCCCAGAGATGAGTTTATTAAGGCCATAAAGCTACCAAATGGAAGATCTGGGACTTCAAATGGGAGAACAAGGTGCCTAATCTTTATACACACCCTTCTCTTCATCATTTGTTTTCCTCCCGAAGACAAAATTTTACATACATAGCTTCTGTCCATATTGCAAGAGTGTTTTTTGCATTTAGATCTAAAAGAGGAAGAAATAAAGTAGTGAGGTTGTTCTTCAAGTGGAACAAAGGTTTTTTTGTTGTTGTTTTTATTTTATTTTATTTTAAGTAAGTTTACAAAAACAAAGGAGTGGCCTGCTTTTAGATTATCTTCATAAGTTGCAGAATGACTTCCTATATCATTTTAAGGCCTCCTTCAGGAAATAGAAATGTGATATAAGAACAGAACCCCAAGTGATTAATTCACAGATAAAATAGAGTCAACATTATTAGCTACCTTTACTCTAAAAAGTAATTTCACTTTCCCTCCCCTTGTATTCCATACTCCTTACTTAGCCTATCTGTGATATGCCCTAAAGAGTCATGCAGTCATCTTACTTATGTGTGTATGACCTAGAAGAGAAGGTGGGGGGGTGCCCATACGTGAAAATACAGAAAATAATTATCATGATGTGACTATCAATGATGTACCCCAGAATCTGCAATGGAATTTTTCACATGCATTACTTAATTTAATTCTTACAACCGTCCTAAGAGGTGGGTACTATTATTACTCTCATAGTGCAGATGAGCAAACTGAGGTTCAGAGACATTCAGTAAATTGTCTGAGGTAAGAAAGCTAGAAAATAGTTAAAATGAGATTTACTATCATGCCTGACTTGCTCCAAAGTCTATGCTATTTCCACTATATCACTTTACACTCTCTGCTCAGGAGGGACTACTTAATAGAATGGGGCTCATCGTAATGTATGGAGGGCACCTTATGGCAGAACCTTTCTAATTATGATATAATTATGAACTTGTGATCTTATAACACTAAGATTAAACCATCAGGATATAACTAAACACCTGTCCCCACACATGTCACCCATCCCTTCTCACCACTCACTTTGACTTCAGTATTGGCACTGTTTCTACTATTATTTATTATCTGTGTAGAGGCTGTGAGAAAGCAAGAGAAAACGCATCAAATGCATTACAATTTCAAGAACTAAGAACAGGTCACACCCACCCAAATTACACTTCCACTTTTGTACTTTACAGACATGGGTATTTGTTTCTGCATAACTGGTGTAGAAAGTTTCACTTACTAAAGGGGCATGTTCTGTTCTTATCTCTGTGTTAAATAACAGAGCCCTATTAGCCCACAACAGCATGCTAGAAGTCAAGTTCACACTTCCTTTTTTCTGTGGGTTCTTATGCCTCTGCAACTCACGGTTTGTTGTAAGCTTGGAGATTTGCATGGCCTGCTTTCCAAAACCTCTTCTCTTCTCCACACTGAAGGGGAGGTAGGAAGGGATTTTCCCCAAATCTGTTTGGTGACAATTAAATGTAAAATCCCCATGTTAGGGAGAGGCTGGGAGAATTTATTTTGGGTAGGACAGAAATGTAACATCTCTCAGAGAGGGAACAGTTAGCATGCTGCAGACAACTTGTGACGTTTCTGAAATTTAAGAAAGGAGAACAACCTAAGAAGCTACTAACATGAAATTACTGAATAGAAGGGCTAAACTTAGAGTATATTCCTTCTCTCTGTCTCTGCCTCTCTCTCGGCCTCTCTCTCTTTGGTTCTGGCTCTATTGTTGACTATTTCTGGTTGGTTTGTGTCCCCTGTGTTGCCAATCTCTCCCCTTCAATCTAGACATATCTTTGGTTCCTGTCTCAGAAAGATGTGGGAGATTGGCAATTTACTTGTGAATCTGAGCTCCCCTTCTCAGTCAGTGTCATGACTTTCCCTCCCAGACACTCAAGCTGGAAACTGGGGATTCTTCCAATACCTATCACTACATTTTGCCCACATCCAATCAGAAACCAGGTTATTCTCTCTCCTAAAAAGCTTTAAAATTTATCTCCAATTCATCTATACTTCCACTGTCGCCATCCTAATCCAGGGCACCATCAACATTCCTCTTGACTATTGTAACAGATGCCTTACTGCACTTCCTGCACCCCAGTCTTGCCCTCTGAGTCCATTCCCTATGCTGTGTCTAACACTAACATCAATTATGGCTACCATTTATTGTGGGCTACGATTTATTTACAGACTAAAAACTTTTCATATTTTATTTCATTAATCCTCATAGCAACACTGTGATTATTTTCATATTACAAATGAGGAAACTGAGACCAAGAGAGGTTGAATAAGTTGCACCAAAGTCACAAAACTTGCATAGTGTAGAGGTGGTGTATTAGAATGGAACCCATGCTTGTCTCTATACTCTCTTACCTCTGTCATGGCACTTACAGACTTATTGAAATTCTGTTAATATGTCTTTCTTTTTAATTAGATTTTACACTCCTTCATGGCAGGGACTATGTTATCTATTAATCCCTTAAAACTTTTTCCACCCTGTGGCCCAAGTGATCTTTTGTTGAAATATCATGTCATTCTTTGCCAGTTCTCTTTCATATTAAGGCCAAACTTTTCATTGTGGCCTAAAGGCCATATCTAATACAGTTTCTGTGCCCTTCAACATCACCTCACGCCATTCTCTTCCTCATTCTCTATGTTTCAACTACACTGAGATGCTTTCAGTTTCTAGAGCAAGCCCAGGTATTTTCCTGACAAAGGCCTCTGCACATGTGTTCCTTCTGTCAGGAATTCTCTTCCTCTAGATCTTCACATATCTGGCTCCTTTTGATCTCAGTTTGCAGGTCAGAGAGACCTTCACCGCCAATACTATCTAAGTAATCTTACACATTATTACATACTCTCTGTTCTTTCTCTTTGTAGCATCAACATTTGTAATTTAGATGTTTGTTTACTTGTTTATTGGCTATTTTACCCACTGTGCTGTTAGCTCCATTAGTGCTAAAACAAGATCTGATCTGTTCACACCATATATCCTGGACTTAGCCTGCTACTTAGTAAGCATTCAAAGAAAGATTGTGTGATTGGATTGAATTGCATACACAATAGTTTAAAGTCCCTATTTAGAAGTGATAAGAACAAATGTAAACCCTGATATGTCAACTAATACACTTCTGCTGCCTACTATTTCCCTAAAATGTTGTCTTCTGATCTGGGCCATTATCATCAATATTCCCTGCACCTACCCCTTTCAACTTAGAAAAGTCATGTCTGTAGAAGCCTGAGAGAAAAGTAAAATAATCAATTTAGAAGTCACGGATGGTGAGATATATCCTATGGGTAGAAAGGAGCATAGCCCAAGGTTTCAGAGTACTATCAACATTATTACCTGGATCTCAGGAAGAGGGTAGTCCTTTTGATCTGCTTCCAAAAGCATCTCAATCTCTTATTTTTGTTGATTGCCATTCTACAAAGGGTACACCTGCCTCATCTCAACAGCAAATGAGTTCCTACCCACCTATGCATGGGACCTGGAATGAGAGTGAGAAGGTTGCATCTGTAGTCCCCAAAGCTCTCCACATATGGAAAGTAAGCACAAAGGGAAAATAATTCTATTTACTTTTTTTCATGGCTTTTTGAGGACTCTGGCTGCCTGGGAGGCCATCATTCAATCAATGTATATTTAATAAGTACCATTGTATGAACTCTGTGTTAGGTTCTGTGAAGAATATAAAATCATCCGCCATAATCTCTGTCCCTGAGAAGCTTCTGGTCTGGTGGGGGGAATATTTTAAAAATCTCCAACATCACAATCAGTGCATGATAAGAACTGAGGTGAATAGTGTAGATGATAAGAAATCCTCATAGTAGCACAGTATCATCCCTCTGAGTTAAACAAACAGATACTAGTAATATCCCTACCATAATGTTTAGCTGACAAAGAGATGCATTCAAGAACAATCCAGTTCCCTGTTCAAGGTCACAAGGTTAGAATATAGTTGAGCTGGGACCAGAAGTCATGTTTTTAGGCCTCTTACTCAATGCTCTTTATACCATGTCAGGTTGCTTCTATTAAATTCTGAAAGACAGAGCACTTGAGCCAGAGAACATGGCATTTGTGCCAAGCCATCTACATTTTCTTGCTGGTCCCTGTAGGGACAGGGTTGGAGAGAAAAATAGAGATGCTGGCTGGGGAAGAGATAAAGTTAACCTTACTTTTCCTGACTTATACACTATTGTATTTAAGTCCTAGTAGCCCTTCAAATCTGTGGCCAAGTCCTGTCTCTTCAAGAAATTCTAAATTGGGGTATTATCAATATCATTCATCCAGGATTTAGTGATTCATAATTTCATCCAACAAATGGACCATCTGTTATGTGTGTATCCAATATGCTAATTGCTGAAGATGGTGAAGTGGGGCGGGAAATTTCAGAGAAGAATAATATATGATTGTTAGCCTCAAGAAGTTCATCGTCATTTAGAAGAGACAGACATAAGAATAACTAACTATAATAGATTTTTAAAACGTGCCATGAAAAAGATAACAAAGAAGTTTCTGTAGTAGAAATGAATCCTGTACAGAAGAGGAAGATTGGAAGCTCAACTTGTAGATTAAGTCCAGTTTTAATAAGTAGTTGTGAGGATGTTCAGGGTTTAAGAGAAGAAAGGATGGAAAAGGAATTCCAGAGATAAATGAATAGCACTCAAAGGTCCCAAAGTATAAAAATGAATGACCTATGGAAAAGAATAATAAGTGTTCCAGCCCAGCTGAAGAACACAGTGAGATGGTGGGGAAGGTGGAATGGAAGGTGAGAGTGGGAGAAGGTAGTGGAAGGAAAAAGAGACTACAAAGGTAGATGCAACAGATCGTGGAGTGTTTTACGGAGAATCGTTGAAGAACTCTGGGAAGAGATGTGATATTACCATACTTGTGTTTTAGAAATACAACTCTGGCAACAGTGTGGAAGATGGATTGGAAAGATGGGAGACCAGAGACGGGAGGTCCAAATTAGTTGGGAGTTTGTAGAGTGACCAAGAGTCTAGGTTTGCCTAAGACTGAGGATTTCCCAGGATGTAGAATTCTCAGTGCTAAAACCATGACAGTACAGGGCAAACAGGATAGCTTGTCACCCTATTGTTGCAAGAGTCTAGGTAATAAAAAATAAGCTCTGAACTTGGTATGGTGGGAATATTAGAATTTCAAGTAAATGTCAGACACGGAATTGACCAGTTTTGGAAACTGACTGAAGAGTCAAAGATAATTTCATTTATAAAACATGTGAAATATTATTTATAAAGCACAGTTTTGCACTTTTCCAAAGCCCTTTCAGATCAGCAGCTCACAGCATTCACCTTTCCTGACAATCTGAGCCAATTCACTTCTTCCTTATTCCAGGACTTTTCAAATTTGTACTTTCTGCCAAACTTCATCAATTCCTGACTCTTCAAATGGTTTTCTTTCTTAACATTCTAATCTCTGAGCTTCACTGAAAATGCACCATACATTCCCAGACAACTTAAATTTGGAAATCTCTCCATCACTCCTGGTCTGACCTAGCACCTTCCCTCATCTTACTTCCTCTCCTACCCAGCCTAGGTTAAATGGTCAAATTAACTGCTGTCACACAAGAACCCTCAACTTCCGTGCTCACCATTCTTCTGCTGCACCAGCCTGGAAAGGTATTAATCCCAGATCAAGTCCACAATCCATTTTCTTTTTTGCTATCCAAACCGCTGAATGATCCTATTAAAAATACCAGGATCTGTTTGGAATGTGAAAACTTAGAAATTTATGATCTCCAGCCTAAGATATTTTGCTCCAGACTCCTTTCACACACTCCTGATTAGTATCTTCTCCTATTCCCATGGTGGCCATTCAACACATTCACAACTCTACTAAAGCTTCTTCTCTTCTGCTCTCCCATCCTCATCTTTCTCAGCAGAAGGTCTTACTTCTTAAATCTCAGAGAAAATTGAGGTTATTTGGTGAGAAGCAACTCAATTTCATCCATTGTCCCCTCCCAACACACACAATCTTATCTACAGCTGCATCCTTCTTACTTCTTAACACAGCTGTCTTTCCTGTTGTTCAAGATGAATTCTCATTCTCTTTATCCCTTTTATCTGTCTCAGGATCCTGTTTCATTAATTGTTCCCTTTCATTCCTAGATCATCATGCTGTCCGCCGGTCTCAGTTAGATCTTTGTCATCAAGTCTTTCCAACCCCCAAAATAATTCTTCTCTTGTCTGGGCATCTTATTCTAGCTCTTTGTTACTTTCCTTCTCTTCTTAAATAAACTTCTCACAATGTTGGTTTACAATGATTGTTTCCTTTTCTTCACTTTATATCCATTCTTCGATGCATTCTAAGGTGGCGTGCACACCCTCACAACCTCACTTAAACTGCTTTAGCAAGAGTGACCAATGACCATCATGTTGCTAAATCATACAGGACTTCTCTGCTGCCTTGGACACAGTCTGACCACATCCATCTTTTTGTAATGCTCGCTTCACTTGGCTTCTAAGCCACAACTCTTTCTTAATTCTCTTTTTAACTATATGTCCATTTATATTGAATCTCTTTCATGACTTCTTTTATCTCTACATATCCTTTAAATATTCATTTCCCTAGGTCTGTATCTTCTCTTCTTATTCAGCATCCTTGTGCCAAGTAACATCATCCACTTTCATGGCTTCAATTACCATTCATATCCTGACGACTCTCATGTCCCTATGTCCAGGCCTTGCCTCTCCTCAGATATTAAAGCTATATGTCCAACTTCCAGCTGAGATTTCCAATTTGAATGTCTCACAGACATCTCAAAATGAATATGTCCATGCTCACCATGCTCCCTGACCTTTTACTTATCCACCATCTATCCAGTTATAAGAGCCAGAATCCTTAGAATAATCCTAGACCCCTTCTTCTCTTTTATTCAATAAACCAAGTTGTCTTTCTCTCCCTCTCTCTTTTCTCTCTCTCTGGAGTATCAAATCACTCATTAACTGGTCTACCTGTCTCAAGGATTGCCCTTTTAAAACTGTTCTCTACTCTGCTACCAAAATGATATATCAAAAACACAAATTTGGGCTACCATGTCACCACAGGAACTACTTTAACAATACACTTAGTGTATTATATTAAATGTTTCCATTTATGTCTCTGTATTTCTAACTAAACTATGAGCATTTTGAAGGCAAAGACCATGTCTTACTCATATTTAAGTCTCCAGAACTTAGCAGAATGACTGGCACATAGTCATTCAGTAAATACCTTTAACTGAACAAATATCTTGCCTAATGACAATTCTTATATTGTTTAACTATTTATGGATCTCTCCACACCAGGTTGTGAGCTTTGTGAAGTCAGGGGCCATGACCTAAATTTCTTTATCTCTTTCTTTCTCTAAAACCCTAGAACAAGTCTAAATATATAGCACTATTAAAACAATTGATGTTAACTGGCCCATGTAGGAATTTATCCCAAGGGCTTGATGTCACTGATATTGCATAACCAACTCAGCTAATCAGGACCACATAGACAATAAAGGCCAGGCAAAATTATAACCTGTGAAAATGCCATGTCCTCAGCATATACTTCAGCCCTTAGCTTCATGGTTATGAACACCCAGATAGAGATGAGAGCAGAACTCCCAGTGCCTTCAACATCAGCCTTATAAAAGTAAATGCTTCTTAGTTTCTCCAGTGTGCAGTGCTCTGTCCAGGGTATACACTGCCTACACCAAAGGGCACGACCATAAAGAAGGATACCTCTTCTCTTGAAAAAAGGGTTTGATGACAGGGGCCAACCCAAAGGGAACGGCCAGCACAGAGTTCTAATCTAATAATCAAAGCAGAAAAATCAGCTACCATCTTTGAGCTAGCCAGATTCACTTTCAGTGTGTGGGTCTAAGGATGTTCCTGATAATGAAGATGATTGGTGTAAAGTTATGACTAAAACTCCATCAAACTCCTTTCTCTCTGGATTCCATCTCAGAGGTCAATATTTTACTCCTCTCTCAAGGTCTCATGTGAATTCTCATCTTCCCTTTGCCCTGGGCAACCCTATTCTGACTTCCTACTTCTTTGTACTCTTACTGGATGTATAGGCTTCACTATAAGAATGTAGTGTGTCTGAGGGAAGACTCTGCATCTTTTAGACTTTTGTATTCTTTATTTTGCTTAGCAGAGGGTTAGGCTTGCAGTAGCAGCTCACTTCATACACATTGGTTTGTAAAGGTAAGAGTATGGAGAATAGGCACATATTAGCAGATCCCAAGGCAGTTTTACTTTACAATGTCTCTCCCATGAACTACACTCCCAAACAACAATCATAGTCTTTCTTCCTCTGCCACTGAGGAAAATATGGTCAAGGCAAGGATAAAAAGTTAGAGTCTAATAAATCTGGACACCTAAGAGCTCCAATGCCTGTAATCCCAGCTTATTTAAAATCCCACAGGAATCCCATAAGTTTAAGTGTGAATTTGGTCATTAAACACTTGACTTTATGGAAAAAAACTAAATTTTGTCTCAGAACACAAAAGTTGCCAGGTCTTTGAATATGATTCAATGCAGCTGAATCCCAAAACTTAGTAGGTATCAGTAACATCTACCCAAAGGCAGCTTCTCTTCCCAACCACCTAGCTCAATGCTGCGGTTTCACAAAGGTACAGCAAAAGTGGGCTTATATTATTATGGCATCAGAGCTTTTACCAGACTTCTAAATTTCAGTAAAGTATTAAGTCCAAGAAGTTTCCACATGCATCCTATCAGTCACTAGCTAAGGACTATTCATATGTTACCTCTAATCCTTGTAAGAGCTCTGAGTTAATTACTATTATACCCTTTTATAGAGCAGAAGATGGAGGCTCAGCAGGATTAAGTTTCTTTCTCAAAGTCATACCTACTACGACACCAATTGTAATACAGCTCTTCATGAGCAGAGAAAGCTAAAATTTTTCTTATCCAAACAACTTATTGCACAGATAGAAAGATATTTTAGAGTGGTATTTCTGTAGATAAGACTGTTCTTCAAAGATGAAGAAGCTATTCTTCTCGGTTCTGGTTCTAGCACTTTTATAACTATGCATATATGGCAAATGACTTCCCACCAGGTGTCAGGGTAGGATTGTATCAAAACCAAGGATCTTTATGGAATTTTGCCTATGAACCCAAACCATAATAGATCTGTGTATAGAGAACTGGAACAATTTCTTTATAGTAGTAGTGACCTGGATTGACAAGACTTGTAGGATGAGGAAGATTGAAAAGGAGTAGAATATATTGAAAAAAGTACTGGATTCGGAGCTAGACACCTGGATTCCAGTAAGTATTCAAATACTAACTCTTTGTGCTGTCCTGTTAAGCCCTTTCTCTTCTGTCGGTTTCATTTCCGTCATTATTAAAATGAGACAGTTTGAACTGGATGATCTTTAACTCCCTTACAGCTCTAACTTGCCTTGACTTTATGGGCCTGGCCCCTCTCAACCTCTGCCCCTAACTATTACCACCAGCACTGCCACTGCCATCATCAATGCAGCTACCACCATCTCAACTCACCTGCTGATTTACACTTTACAAAGCATTACAACATCTATAATTGCTGTTAATCATTATTAAAGGTATTGTGAATAATCAGGTCAGAGGATATCATCCCCATTTTACAGATCAGGAAACTGAGGCTCAAACAAGTGACTTCATTTACCTGAAGACATAAGGTTAGCAAGTAACAGAGTGAGGAGAGTGGAACCTAGGCTTCTGACATCAAGGTGACTGCTCTTTCCCTAGTACAACTCTACAAAGCTTCATCCTCTCTGTCTTTTCCTTCTTTTAATGCCTCATCATTAACTCGCTAATACCACTAAGTGAATACGTTTATCAAGTTTGTTTTTCCTATTTTCTTTGATGATAGGGCCAGTATGTGGACTTGTCATCTTGGGAGGAGAAGGGGAAATTAAATAGGGAAAGATTGCTGATGGGTGCCCCTCCCACTCTCTAGGGACAACCTTTACAGGCTATTTGGGAACATAACTTACTTTTCTTACCTTTTTCTTCTTTTTTAAACCACAAAAGTCTCATATAAATTGCCCAAGCCAGTCTGACCGCCATAACTACAAAGGCCTTTATTCAATCACTCACAACCACAGCCAATGAAGAGCCACTGGAATTTGGAACTCTGTTATTTCCTGAATTAATTGAAATCAACTCTAAATAACTCAGCTTGGCATCAGAAAGACAAATATTTGGAAATATTCTGCAAGTCTAGAATTTTTTTCTATAAATTAGAGGAAGTAAAAATTATTTTTATTCTTAAAATGAATTAAAACAGACTATTCACAAACTAATATCTTAAAGTTAGAATTGAACTTCCATGTGTTCATCTTTATTGGATTCTTGATCATCTAGGAAAGACGCCTAATGAGGTATCATTTTTGGGCAGACGTGGGATCATATCTTGACTCAGTTATCAGCTGTCTAACCTGAAACAACTGACTTCATATCTCTAGGCTTCTGTGTCCTCATTTATGAAACTAGGATCACAGTGCCTGCAGCATAGATCTCTGTGAAGATTAAATGCAAAATGTACATGAAAGTACATATTTTCATGCCTGGCACACAGTAGACATTGAATATATGTTAGTTCCTTTCCGCTTTACTTGTACAGAGAGTAATTTCCATGGGCCTTTGGTTGGATCTTATGCTTTTCTGTATTTGGAAAGTCCCCCAAAAAGCATAGTTGTGAGAGGTGGCTATCAGGATTAAAGCAATAATTCTTAAAGTGGAAGAGTGGAAAATGTGTTACTTGAAAAAAATATTCCTTATTATAGTAAATATATTTGGAAATCAAAATAATTGTCCCTGTAATACAAAATGCTGAAAGTACTTATCTACAACATCTTTTTTGGCTGTTGGACACACAGTACCTGGAAAATGTCAATGTAATGGGGTAGGTTTATCTAGGAGTCCAGGGTCTACTTCCTAGGGAGGCAAGTCCACAGTAACCTTGTAGTGAGATTTTTATGCTTCTCAAAGGGAACCTGAGTTTTAAAATATTGAGAAATATTTATTGAGCGACATTGTCATTGTGGAAATCAGATTTTAGAACTCTTTATCTTGTTTGTTGTTTGTGTTTTATCATTTGAAGGAAAAAAAGGAAATTGCTTACAAAACACTTGCCTGCGGTCTAAAAGTTGAAGCTCTCATGAAAACATTATTCTGAAAGAAACATAATGTTCCTTGGCAAAGGTTACTGGGTTCCCCTTGAGATCTAGACTATTATTTCCAGAAGGTCCCCTCTAGTTAGATTTACCTGCTATGGTCCCATTATTTACCACTTCATGTATATAACTCTTCTCAGGTACCTAGGAGACTAGAGTCAAATCATTGCATTGCTAGCAAAAAAATTAAAGACCATCTATTCCAAACTCTCTCCCCTTATTATTGGTGAGAATATTGAGACCCAGAGAAATAAAGCAGCTTGCCCAAGGCCACACAGTGAGTCATTGGCAGAACTTGAATTAGAACCAAGATTTCTTGACTCTCTGTGTATTAATCCCTCTACTTCATCATTCTGCCTGTGATGCCTGTGAACCAATATAAAATGAAAACTTCCCTGCAAAACATCCTGACCTGGAGTCTAAGTAGACTTGTTTTTTGTAAGTAGACGTTTTGTCCAAGAGTTTTTAGATAAAGCATAGACTCCCTTCCAGTCATTGCCTTGATAGTTGGAACTCTTAGAAAGGGTAAAGGGTAGTTTTACAACAGATAGCTCTATCCTCTTTGCTAGAGCTGTGACAAAGGGTTATAGACTGCACTGCCTCTTAGGACACCAGTTGACTTACCTCAAACAGGACTGGCCATGAAGAGCCACTCAAAACCACCCAGAAGTATGCTCACCCATTTGAAGGCTTATGCTCCACCACTGCCAGGATTTGAGCAGTCTACAACTTGAACTCAACAACTTTTCCACTTGAGCCCAAAAAGGAACTGCTTTTGACCAAAGAAGGACCCATGTTCAACAGGAACCATTGCAAAGACAATTACCCCAAATGCATGACCTGATTCTCAGTATAGTTCAGGCCATTTCCCACTTCAGTATACCAGCATATCACCTATTTTCAGGAGTGAATAATTTTATTATATCACAATTGCTAAGAGATAAACTCCTCAATTAATAAAAATGGCAATGACTCCGTACATCTGTTTGAACAACCAAAATAAAAATATCCCCACTTGCAGGAGCCTTAGGACTGAAACTACTCCCTCCAAAAAGCACAACAAAGCTTGTTATCATTCTATCCAAAATGATCCTGGTACCAACTGGTGTGGCACAGTCCACCTTCAAGGACTCCCCAACTGGAAGTCTCCTTTTGACTCAGTCTTGTTGGCTCAGAACCAGAGAGGTTGCTAGCACTCAGAGTAATAAGAACAATAATCATTGAAAAGATAGGCGCCTCTCTTTTGGGCTCTGTTCTCCAGTAGGGCTGAACTTGGGTCAAAAAGCAGGTTTCAAAGGATCAAGAAACACCTCTGAATAGACTCTGAAATCATTTCACCAGAGCTTGTCAGCTGGAATATTTTTTTCTTTCCTAACCTAAAATTCAACATAGTTATAAATACATTTACAATATTCTCTGGGAGATTTAGGCTGCTGTAAGGGAAAGAGAACATGATTTAAAAGACATGGGTTCTAGTTCCAACTCTGCCACGAACTAGCTGGGCGATCCTATGTGTCCTCACACCATTGGCTCTCTGTTTCCCCAACTGTATTGTAAAGGATTTGGATCTGTAAGAGCTCTTTCAGCTCTAAAATCAGTGATATAACTTTGTTTCCTTCTCTCCTGAAAGAACTTACTATTTGCTGCTGTATCTGTGAAAGCTAAACTTAGCAAAGTAAGGGGTTTATACATAAAAATTTTCCTTCATTATGCAACTAGATAAATTATACAGAGCATAAATGCAAATCCTCTTTTTTGGCTAAATATGTCAAGTTGTCCCAATGAGTCTCACTGAACACACTCTTTTCTTACCACTCTGTGCCATCTTCTCTGGTTGATGAAGAAACAAGGGGCCCTCAGCAAAGAGTGAGCTGCAACACAGACTCCATGCTCCTGGAGTAATGGTGGAGACTGATGGCATTAACCCTAACTTTCTACTCTAGTCAGACTCATGGGCAATCACCATTGCTCCTGCTGTAAGAAGTCTGAAATGAGAAACCAGGGACCATTTTCAATTAGGACACTGGTCCCACATCTGCTTCTCTCCTGGATCTTCACACTCTCACAAATCTTCCCATATGGAACCACCAATTCCCAAATACTAGGCTGTAACTTACCCTGGAGCCTTGCCGGTATTAGCACTCTTGTTTCTTGGAAGAGATCTGGGGGTAAAAAAGCCTAACTCTGGGTGGCACGGATACTGCTGATAACTGACAAATTTGTTGTTGAAAGAGGAAGTTGAGTGCATTTGGTGTCTCACCACAGAAACCTAATTTGCACAGACAAGGTAAGTCCCTTGAGCAGACGACACTACTCAAGTTTTGTTTCATCTTTATTTCATTAGTGCAGAGAAATTCAAAGATCAGGGAGCCAAAGGCTGTGCAAAATCAAATGACTGCATATCAGCCTTCCTCACTGTTCCTCATGCTATCTCATTCCACTACAACTCACATGCCTGTCTCACTAGATTCCAATAGGTTCCATGGCAAGATGGGATTTTGAGGCAAAATCTGAAAACAGTTTACCTAAGAACAAGAAAGCTGCAACTCCTTCAAGCCTGAGGGGCAAATGGTGAGGAAACCTCAAGAATACAAGTTAGAACTAACAGCAATAGGACTACCTTTGCTTAAGCTGTTTCTTCCATATGGAGTGCCCTTCCCTCAACCTCTCATCTCAAGGCTCATAATTTAATGTGTAGTTTAGTTATTTTTGTACATTTCTTATCCCTTTAGTATACTTCAAACTGCTTGAGGGCAATGATCATGTTTGACTCATCTCTGTATTCCTAATTAGTCCAGCACAAGGCACTTTCATGAATGTTTATTAAATGAATAAGTAAGGCAATAAATGTAAAAATAAATGTTCAAATAATGAATGAATAAATAGTGTTGATTACAGAGGCTTCTTCCAGTGTACTAAGATTTTGGTCTTTATGTATAATGTCTATAGGGCCTTTATAAGTATGCAAATAAAAAAAGATCATACCCTTGGGACTATAGCATCAGCCAAGTCTGAGAGTAGTTCTGAGAAATAAGGCTTTCAAAGCAGCATAAACCTCTGTGGACATGTAAGGGAACCACATTCAGAACCCAGGGCCTGGAGCTGCAAAGAGCCTTCTAGGTAATAACCATAGCAAAGGAGAAAAAGAAAGTACTGTGGGTTGGGTCAAATAGTAGCATTTGGATTTATGGATAAGATTGGTTAAAGAAGGAAGTAGATGACAATATTTTTGTAGGAGGGCAACCTGGCTCTGCAACAAGCTCTCCTTGTAAAGTCAGAACCATTTGAAAACTAGATGGAGCCATGTCCAACACTCAGAGCTCTCTAATAAAAATTTCAAGAGAATCAAAAGATGGAAAAGAGACACTTGTAGCATTAGAAACTAAGAGCTTGAACTGGCTGATGACGCGTGAGGACTGGAAGAAGGAGAGGGTACCCATCCTGGCTGAGGTATATCAAATGAAACATGTTTGACCTTGCAGTCCCCTTCTTATTTCCAACTTCATATATTTATTCAGCTCCAATCTGTTGTTAATTTAAATTTCTGACTTGACATCCCTACCGAAAAGATAATACACTGACAGACCAACACACATTTCAGTCCTTTTGGAAGTTCTGTTCCTTACCATAAATTATTAAATTGGCTTTCTGGTACAAATCCATCCCTTGTGAGTATGAGGAGTGTGAGCCAGTTTTCCTAGGGTATGATCCTTCTCTAGACAAAGAAATTTCCAGGTTTATTGAGCTTTAAAGCCAAACCTTGGGACAGAGGGAAAAAAGAAACCTTTTCATAACAATTAGCTGTCTTCACTACCTCCCACCTTCATTTCACAAACAACACCTCAACATTGCTAAGAAGAGAGCCTGCGAGCTTACCTCATTTCTCTCTTGCATGCAAGTATCCTCTCTTCTCATTGGCCCTAAAAAGGGAAGCAAAAGTAGCTCAGAAGTTAGTGACCCAGTTTAGGCAAAGAAAATTTTGAGTCAGGTAAAATTTTGAGTTTTAATTAGAAGGACCAAAGCTGTAGACAAACCAAAAAATCTGATAATTTAACAAACATCTCAAATTAACTTTTAGAAGTCTTATAGATATTGAGTAAGACTGGTGGTCTGATACAGCAACTAGAAGGATGTGCAACTATGACATACAACTATCTACTGGGGCTTTGGGGAAAAAAAGGAGGAGGATTGGCAATAGATGTTAGCTCAGAGCCGGTCTTCCTCAGCAAAAAGAGGAGGATTAGCATGGATGTTGGCTCAGGGCTGATCTTCCTCACAAAAAAAAAAAAAAAAAAGACCAGTGGTCTAGGAATCATTATCACCTCAAATCAAGTAATAGATATCCAGTCATAAGAGTCTGAAAAATAGTACAGCTGTCCCATTTTGCCCATAGTTCCAAACTCTTCCCTTCTCTCTATGTATCCTCTCAAAGTTTACTTTAACTGGTGCATCATATTTCCCTAGGCTGAGGAAAGTTTATAAGTTGGTGCTTCAAAGGCTTTTAGGTCTTCTCTAACAGTAACAGTAGATTATGAATGATAGCTATTGTTGAGGTCAGTATTCGTTACAATATACTGTATTTTCTAGGAGACTCCAAGAGTACTATCTTATCTTAGTGTTAGGAAGAACTAGATTTTTCCAAAGCAATTGGCTTGATTTGATTCTTATGGATATTGATAATTCCGTCCCGTGTCTCTTCTTACATAGTCTGCTGAAAAATCTGGAACTAATTTATAGTCTACTGGTAGCAAATTTGAAGATATTTTTATGATGTGCTTATTTTGATTATCCTCTTTCATGGCTCTATTTTTAAGTCCTTGCCCATTTTTTTCTCTATTATTTTTCACCTACTATTCATTTATATTATCTTGCTATAGTATACATCCTTTAAACCACCTTTAATCTTTTCCGGAACGATAGTGAAACAAAAAGTTAAATAAAAAAAAGGAAAGAGTGAATTGTGAACTCAATTCCTTTTGCATTAGAACTAGAGAATATTAATTGCTTTAGATAAACTGTCTTTGAGTTTCCCATATCTGATTCTATATCCACAGAGTATTCCTGCCCTTTTTTTTTTGGAATTAATAATTCAGTAAGTACTTAAGGAGCTACAACAATGAGCAATTTTGTTGCATGCTGAGTGGGAAGTGTGGTATTCAGAAGCGTAAAGTATGTCCCCTATTTTTCAAGAGTCCAAAGTTTAAATGACAAGTTGATGATGCATAAAAGAGTTAGAAAACATAGCATAGTATATGGTTTACTATTAAATTATGTGGAAGTTAAGGAGATGAGTTCGCTATGGGCTGAATCTATTTGAGAACTCTTGGTCTTTGCTCAAGAGACGTTTGGTTTAAGCAGCATTCCTAATGGGTGGAACATGTCCCACTGGAGGCATGCAAGGTTATTTTTGGTAGTACAAGGAATAGCGTTTTAAACATTGTCAAGTTACACATTTGTTTTAAGGCTTTAAAATGTAATAAAATTACCACTTCAAATCTATGTTTTCATGGATAATATTACTTAGGATGAGACTAAAGTAGGTAGCTAAATTTTAAAATGTGTGATTAAACAAGCACACACAAATAAAAGTATAGAGGGTAAGGAGACATAGCAAAAACTATGGAGGAGCATTTGAGTATCTGAAATTTGGCGAATAACAGCTTGAAGAAAGAAGAGAAGGCAAGGGATTCAAGGATAAAGAAGAAATATTGCCAAGGACATGAATGAAGAATAAACATGTACTATTTGTGTGATAGTGAGGAAAAATATTTCACTGAAGCATAGGGCATGTTAGGGAACAGTGAAAAAGAAGCTTGGAGGGTGGAACCATACAAATCAAATCTTAGAGTATAGAAGCTATAGGATACAAGAAGTCATTGAAAGGTTTTAAACAGACCAGATGGAGGGAGATAAAAAATCTTATATTGAGTACTTTCTATGTACTGGCCACCATTCTAAGCAATTTACACACATTATCTCATTTAATCATCAGAACAATCCTATGGAGTAGGAACTAATATTATCTTCTATTTTACTCATGAGTGAATTGAAGCAGAGAGGTTAACTAACTTCCCTAAGATCATGTAACAAGTAAGTAGGAGAGGCAAGATTCAGACCCAACTCTATCTGTCTCCAGAGCTCAACGTCTTTTCTACCTCTCCCTGAGAAATTGCTGAGATAAAGGTGCACAGAACGGAGTGGAGAAGGACACAAAATGGGAGGTGGAGAGCCCTATTGGAGGATATACTAATAATTTAAATTTAAGGTAAAAAGAGAATGGATTAGGGCAGTGACAGTAAAAGTAAAGACAGAGGGTAATTTCAAAAGAATTATTTTTCTCAAAAGAGCACTTAAAACTGTAATCAGCAAAATGAAAGAGGAAATGAATCTTCATGAGTAGGAATAAATTAGTCTTTGAAGGGGTTTAATTTTTGCATATTTTTCACTAAAACTTTTTTGAGTCATACATTGAAGTATCTTTCTTCAATGAGAAAGACATACTTTGTAGCTGAAAGAGGAGTTCATTTTCTTGAACCCCAGAGGCTTATTTTGGAGACATGTTTCAGCACAGGGCAACTTCTTGAGACCCTCTATGAGGAACCTGCAGTCCTGAAAAGGGAAATGGTTAGTCTCACAGGATGTGAGTTTCTAAAGATATGTATTTCAGATAATTTCCATAAGAAGAGGTTTCCTTCAGCTAAATAACTGGGTTATTTGGGCATGCATGTTGTGAATCAACATGAATGATGGGATTTCCGCAAATTTTTGGTGATCTATTTCCTTTTTATATAGTCAAAGCTATGAACAATGGGCAAGAGGACAAGAGACAAAAAAGTATATCCTCAGTTTCTTATTTCGAGGTCCTTGCTATGAGACTTAACTAACTTCATACATGTCACTAGGAATGATCATTGGGAAAATGGTAAAATAGATGAAGACCACTTTTTTGCCCCACCTTCTCTTGTTGGCCTTTGTGAAAGATGGCATAAGTGGACCCATATTAAAATATAGCTGGAGCATCCATTTCAGAAGAATTGCCTTGCAAGTCTTGATTTCTTTATCTTCCAAACTGAATCAAATCACCAACATTCCGAGAAGTCAGTAAGGACAAGAATATCCTGTTTGCAAGGACTGATGAAGTTGGATTTTGCTGTTGACTGAATCGCTAACCAATCAATGAAGTACAAGTATAG